TAAAAAAGAAAGCAGAAAATATTAAAAACTGAAACAACTTTAAAATGGGTCAGAAGGGAGATCAAATGATAAGGTGTTAGATTTAACCTAACTGCATCTGCCACAATCCACTTTACACAGTGCGCTCTGTCTGATAGCAAAGCTATTCACATCCCATGACTATGGTCAGAGGGGATTTACTGGAGGCCTAATCCATGGGGGGGACCCTACAAATGGATTTTGGGTTTCCACTGTCATCCAAAGCTTTCTGTGAACCAGGTGTTTGCCATTTAACCGAGGCTGCACTCGTGATGGAAGCAGGATGCTACCGCTCTCCTTCAGCGTGGCTGACAGGTTGCAGCTGCCAACCTTTGGTCTAGCATACACATGCTTAACACTTCACCAGTAGGCACCCTTGAAAAGACACGGAGAGGTGGACACTCCATGTTCTTTAGTCCAATGATCTTACCTTTTGTTTCCATCTTAAGTTTTCTCACTAGTATTTTAAATTCTGAACCAATTCTAGATTAATGATAGTTTTATCAAATGTTCTCTGCAAGTTACCTACTTTTTTTTCTCTCAAAAGAAATTGATATTACCTCTATAGTGGACCAAGGATATCTATAAACCTTTGATATACGAGGGGATTACACCCCCCCCCCAACCCCCAAAAAACCCAACCAGAATTGTGCTTTCATAGTATGCATTTTTCCTGCTAGGCAAGCATCAAGCAACTTGCTCTGAGTTAGGGCAACCAGTGGTATCACCTGGGAAGGTTCTCTCTGGTCACAGTGAATTTTTTCAGAAAAGCAGTTTTGTTCAAACCTCATTTTTGTGATAGCCAATTTAAGAAAACAGTGTGCGGCTGTTAAATTTTGTTTCCTGCTTGGGAAAAATGCTGCAGAAATTGTTGTGATGCTGAACACAACTTACAAGTACAGCGCTATGGGGATAACTCAAGTATACAAGTGGTTTCCTAATTTCAAAAAAGGTGAAATGTCAATTGATGACAAACCTCATTCTGGACTTCTATCAACCTCCCAAACAGAAAAAAAAAGTCAACTCAGTGCATTTGGAGTTCGTTCCACCAAGTCAGACTGTTAGTCAAGCTTTCTGTTTAGAGTAAGGTGACCAGATTTTAACATTGGTAAAGCGGGACACCATTGATAAAACTCATATCCTGGCAAAATAGCCACATGGCAGGTGAAAACCGTATCCCCTAGCTTGTGCATTCTTTCAAAAAATCAGGACTTTTAAAAACGCCGCAGGACACGGAAAAAAATTGTTAAAAATCGGGACTGTCCCGCCAAAAGCAGGATGTCTGGTCACCTTAGTTTAGAGATTCCGCAAAGATTGTAGAACACTGTGACCAAAAAAGGCCTGATTTGTGGCAGATGGGGGACTGATTTTGCCACCACAACAATGCACCTGCTCACGCAGCCATCTAACTGTGCCAGTTTTGGGCACAAAACAGCCTGCCTCTCTTGCTCCACGCACCTGACTCACCTGACCTCGCTCATGTGACTTCTCTTTGTTTCCGTGAATGAAGAAGGACGTGAAACACAGCAATTTGATGATGTAGAAGAGGTAAAGAAAAAAAAATGATGAGTTTGAAAACTGTTTCCAAGAATGGAATTGCAGATTTGACAAATGTAATGGAGAGTACTTTGAAAGGCTGTTTTGTTATTATATATATATATATATATAACTTGTATGAATGAATGAATTTTGAGTTCACACTTAACCATAAGCCCTCACAAAAGAACGATTAATTTTTATGATGTGGCCCTGCTCAAGGTTTGCCCTCATGAAGGTATCGTGCTGTAACTGAAGCTATGGGTGCTATTGCAAAGCATAGTCAAGAAAGCATATACCTGGCTGTCAGAAATAACAGCATCTGGGGTCTTAAAAGCTTGTCTTTTTTTTTTTTTTAACATTTT